TTTAAGTAAAGAAATTTGTTCTGGTATTAGGTTACAACTGAAATTGTCCTCATCCGATTCACCATTTAATATATTATTTATTGATTGTAGAGTTTTAAATCCTTTATTTTTTTGTAAAATCAAGGATAATTTGTTCTTAACTTTATCTGCGACTCTTTCGTTACACTCAAGAAGTCGACTCCTAAGCGTTTATTAYAATCTGTATACTTTCATGAAGTGTTAAATTCWTTTTTGTAGTTTAGTTATGACTTKAAATAAAAAGCCAAAATTACTTTTAATATATGCTATATATTAAATTATAAATATTAATTACGAAATATACTATAAAACATTCATTTTTCATATTCTTATAATTAAAATATGCAATAATATTCATTTTATTCAATATATGCATTAATATGCATATTATCCAAAATATGCAAAAACATGCAAAATAAAAACACCACCATTTATCTCATCATGAGGTGATTTGTGGACATTACTGACGAAATCAATAACCAGAAGTCGCAAAAAACATGCCGTTGCATACAAATCCTAGCCTCGCTTATTAGTTATTATATTCAATGYTGTTTTATTTCATCATTAAGTTGTTTGTCCATTCAAATACATTTTGTTTTTAGTTGAGAGTTAAATTTATTTTGATACCAAAAACTTAATACTTATATATAATATATATATAATTTGATTATAATATGTGCATAAATATTAAATTATATATTTTAATTAATATAAAAACAATAAATAATAAATAAACATCATGGGATAGGTACGCTMATTCTTAAGCAGTGTTTGAAATATTTAAAATAATCTAAATAGTAAMGTATATTGTATCATTAAATTACTCGATCACACGGTTATTTATTTTTTATTTTTTTGTGTTGTATGCAAGTGCTTTTGTATTTTGAGTCCGATAATAGAGARACTATCATTTTTTGCTACACAAATGATAAATTGAGAATCGATTAACCAACAAGGTTTGTTTACGGAAATAATATTTTTTAAGCAAAAAATAACTAAAAAAAAGCAGGTTGAGCAAAATCGATTGCATTGAGTGCTGTCATGAAGGTTCATCTTCGCTGATAAACGAGTATAAACAACATTTTTTTTTGTTTCGATCTTATAGAAAAAAGACTATTAGTATGGGGTTTTAAGAGTAGTATTCTCAGTATGTGATTTTTCACTTGATATCTGATCTKAAATGTGTTCAACCTTCGATTGTGAGGTTTAAAATACACTTTATATTTATAGGGGAACTAAAATTATAGTTAGGTGACTTAAAGCAAAAGGTAAAGTATAAATTATTCTCAAAGAATGTCAGATAAAAAAGTCCTACATGTAATAAATAAATGATAAAAATATTAAAGTTAATCAAACAATATCTAAGACTCTTTAAATATAGTATATCTATACTAATTATATCATTCATAAATTTATATAAATATATATTATGTTATACCATGTTACTACATATGTGTATTTAGATTATTTACAATTGAATGTTACAATAATATACTAAGGATACATAAAATATGTTTAATAAGCAACCGAGTGGGTAACGCTTTCCTGTACCTGCAAAAATATAAAATAGACGTAAATTGGATCTATTATTATTATACTTGAGCCATATATTAGTATTAATRTTTAAAATGTTCAAATCATCATAGCTGCTCATATGGCTTATACACTCATTACTGTGGAAATTTTTCCCTTAGAACACAAAATTAAATAACACAAAAACTACTTGTACAGATTTTAGTTCTGATCGTCAAGCTTTTCAGAAAATTTTTACATTAAATTGTAGGTATTCAACATGGTTRTCCTAACATTGTATACCTTCATTTAAAAATACTTTACTTCTTATTTAATTAGCCTTCAGAGTTTTAAATATTATAGTAAACGAACATAATAAATATAAACATAGACAATAATAATTAATATAAAACAATAAACAATAAAAATGATTCGTTAATATCGACTATAATTAATATTACCTATATTTAAAATAAAAGTTATACCTTCAGTATAAT